TGCTTTTGGCATTACAGTACATAAATGGCGAGTGCTTCTTAAAAGAATTGAAGTTAATGCAGCTTTTGCAACAAGTATTACATTGGCATGTTGTATTCTTCATAATTTTCTAATTGTTGAAAAAAAAGAAACACCTTATGACATTTCAGAAACGACTGAAACCCACACTACAATAAGTGAAAATCAACAATTACATACAGTCAGATACAATAGACCAACTAAACGTGCAATGGATGTACGAAACCATTTTGCTGATTGGTTTATTTCACCTGCCGGAGAAGTTCCATGGCAGTATGAATATATCAATAAATAATATACTCAATTTGTGTTTTATTAAATATATCAATGAATTAAATATAATTAGGTATATAAATATAAGTAGTTAGGTAATAACATTATTATTTTATATATTTGTTTAACTTGTACAATAAAAAATATTATTGACAAACATTCATATATTCATTATACTTATTGATATGCGGATATTAAAAACTTACCGTCATTTTTAAGCTCATTGGCTACTTCCTTCCATATTTCTTCTCTATATGTGGCATTCTTATAAGTTCCCAAACTTTTGTCATACAGTACTGGCCTCTTCTCGACTTCAACTATTAGCTGTTCTTCCATATTTAAAAAAATATTTGTAATAATATATATTTTTTAAGGAACTACTGGACCACACTTCTTAAAACTTAAAATGTATATTATGTTCGTATGACACAATATTTTAACTACGTTCAAAGTAACGGACTAAAATAGTTTTGTCCGTAGTGGCGTAGTCAAAGTATGGGTATCTACTATCTACTGATTACATCATTGGGAATACTGTGTTAATTACAAATTGTGAAGATAAAACTATTTTAAAATATTAATAAAATATGGATCTATTCGAATGTCGACGCATTCAACTGATAGCAATTTTATATCGTACGTCGACGCGCCGGACGGACGTACCCGACTTTTGACGCGTCGTACCTGGTGTGCGGATTCGTATTTGAATACGTTAAATTCAAAAAGAGTACGTTGACGTACGTCATCGCAACGGACATCGACGTATTTAGTGTGGGAAGGCCTTTACATCCCGCACCACAGCGTGTACCGTCCAGACGACGGCGATAAGAAATTGCGTGTCGTATTCGACGCATCCGCGACTTGTCATCGCGGACCGTCATTAAATAGTAGTTTATTACCAGGTCCGAAACTACAACAGGACATTATCGATGTATTAACGCGATTTAGAGTTCATCGTCATGCATTTACGGCCGATGTTGTAAAAATGTATCGGCAAATTTTTGATTCTCCCCGATTATCAAAAATACCAACATATAGTGTGGAGAGACTCCCCTCACGAAAGGCTCCAGGACTACGTGCTCCATACCGTAACTTACGGGGTAAATTGCGCGCCGTTTCTCGCGTTGCGAGTATTACGTTCTATCGCGTCCGACGATTGCGGTGATTTCGCGGCTGTGCGTCACGCATTAGAGCATCAGACGTACGTCGACGACATCTGTGTGGGTGCCGACTCGGAGGACCAGGCGCTTGAGCAGCAGTCTAATCTAATTACCGTGCTTAGCAAATCAGGTCTAGAGTTAAAAAAGTGGGCGACAAATACGCCGTCGATATTAAACGTAATTCCGGCCGACAGTCGCGGCTCAGGTTCGTTACCTTTCGATACGGTCGACGCGTATAGTACCAAAGTGTTAGGTATCGAGTGGCGCTCCGATAGTGACGATTTTTGCTGTGCGCTCCGTCTAGATCCCGCGCCTGTGTATACGAAACGAGGCATATTGTCGTTAATAGCGCGGATATTCGATCCGTAAGGTCTATTCGCACCGGCAAACTTTTTGGCGAAAACAATTATGCAGCGGACATGGTGCGAGGGGTTGCCTTGGGATGCTCCCCTACCAGTCGATATTCGCTCGGAGTGGGCCGCTTTTGTCGCGGATTTATCGTCTTTACTCACTATCCGAGTTCCGCGGTATATACAATCGCGTCAAGGTGCGCCATGTATTTTACTAGGGTTTTGTGACGCGTCGCAGCGCGGGTACGCGGCAGTTGTTTACGCGCGTATCATGGATGCTCCGACGGAAAGCTGTATTTTTTTATTAGGTACAAAAACCAAATTAGCACCTTTAAAGGCTTTAACAGTGCCGTGTCTCGAATTAAACGCGGCAGTTTTATTATCTCGTTGGCTAGGCCGCCTCAGCCATGTTCTCGCGTCGCAACTAAATATAGTCGGCATTCACGCGTGGTCTGATTCGACCATCGTATTATCGTGGTTGACGGTTCCCCATGAATCTTTCAAAACCTATGTCTCTAACCGTGTGCATCAAATACACAAACTGGTGCCCAACTGTCAATGGCACCACGTAGATTCCGCGAATAACCCCGCCGATTGCGCGTCGCGGGGCATCATGCCGTCCCAATTGGCGCATTTTTCTCTTTATTGGAAGGGACCGCCAGTGATTTATACCGATACATCGCATTGGGCACCGAGTCTACCGCCAAACAATATTTTTGATTTACCCGAAATCCGACCTGTAGTTTGCGCGGCGCTTGTCGACGATGAACCCGTCGAATGGTTCGTGTCATTTTCGTCTTTTGATCGATTGATCCGGGTGACGGCACGCATTACGCCGTGTCCTACGTAAATACGATAATGCGATAATCGCAATACGATGCGNCCGTCTCCCTTAACGACCACCCATATGGCCATATATCTATATAGCAGACACGCAGATGGGGAACGTTCCTATCTATGTGTATACAGTCGCTGTAACGCCGTGTCCTACGTAAATACGATAATGCGATAATCGCAATACGATGCGACCGATACGATTTCTAAAAATAAACAAATCACCGGAAACGAACGGGAGTGTCCGACGTGACCAATGCGACACGACCGATACGACCGGTTTTATCGGATGCGTTTAGTCGTATGCGTTGAAAAACAAAATAGTTTGTTTTTGATCGCATATTCGTATGCGATTTTCACGCTGGATGTTACTTATTAGTTATTACGTATATTATAATGTAATATTATTGTATTATTACATTATTTTTTTATTACCTTATTTTACTTACCTATATTATTTTATTTAATTATGGAATTATTAATATCGGAAATACAAAAGAGAAATGTGTTGTGGAATAAGTGGAACAAAAAGTATAGGGATAGATTAATTTCCGACAGAGAATGGGACGAAGTTGCAAAAAATACAAAAATGGATAGTAAGTAGTTTATAATATAATAATAATAGGTTTAATAATTAGTATCCATTTTACACTGTATTTTTAATTTTAAACCAAATAATTAAAATGAGATTAAACTAAACAATAGTACTGAATACCAGTTTAAAAATTTTACGTTAGAAACTTAAAGAAATGAAACTGATTTTAGTTACCTACCTATTTAAGTATACATTATTATAATATACGTAGGTATATAGTAAAAACTTACTTAAAATTACTACAATATTAATTAGGTACATATATTTTACTTACATATTTGTTTCAGTAATATTATTAGTTTTAAAAAACTCTACAAATATATTTCTAATATCAATAGCAGTACGGGAAGCACGATTGTTAGATCTGTTGGCACGGAGTCTCATTATTTTATTACTTTCTTGTACATTTGCAATGTTAAAATTTTCCGATATGATGGTACATTGACGCGAAGATTCGTTCTCTCTATCAATTATTACATTGTGTAATATACATATAGCTTTCACAATATGATCTGCATTCTCAACTTTAGTTTCAATTGATTTTTGAAGTATTCTAAATTTAGAAGATGCAATGCCAAAAGCGCACTCAATAGTCATTCTTGCCCTAGAAAGACGATAGTTATAATGTTTTTTATCATTAGCTGATGCTAATTGTTGTCTAGGGAAGGGTCTCATTATATAATTGCGTAACGGGAAAGCTTCGTCACCAACAAATACATACGGTGCTTTAAGATTTGAATTAGGCAAGTTACTCAGTTTTGGCAGTTTTAATGTACCATTTTCCAGACGTTGATAAAACTGTGTATTACACAGGACGCTGCCGTCGCTATCTTTACCGTACGAACCAACATCTATCATAACAAATCTATAGTTGGCATCAGCTACTGCCATTAAAACAATAGAGTAGTATTGTTTATAGTTGAAAAACATGCTCCCGGAGTTTTTCGGACATTTCATACGGATATGTTTTCCGTCTAAACTTCCAACACAATTTGGAAAATTCCATTTCTTATAAAATTCGTTTGCAATATTTTTAAAATCATCTACTGTAGGAGTAGACATATGCTTGTTTTTTAATGAATTCCATAAAGCTATACACACCTAGATCACTATATTAGACACTGCAGTCTTAGATATTCTAAATGCCATTGCTAGTTGTCTAAATGCTAGTCCAGTCGCCAAGTACCTACAAATAATAAACAATTTTAATAAAAAAAATAGACAATTTGATATTTGAAATTTGTTTTTGATTTTCTTCACACAAAATCGAAAATATTTTATTTCGTTAAAAATACACGAACATGTAGTAAATTAGGTTCCCAATTAATTGTTCTTTGAGCAATTTTTTGTTATACATATATAACATTTGAAGTTAGAGCTATTGTTATATTTTAGTTAATTTATTTTTATAGAGGAAGAGGCAAAAAAAAAGTGGAGAAATTTACGAGACACTTTCTTAAGAGAGAAAAAAAAAGTTAAGAAATGCCGCTCAGGAGATCCACAAGAAAGAGCTGAAATATATACTGGGAAATGGTCTTATTATAATTTGTTGCTTTTTTTAAAAGATACCACAACTCCAAGGGTTTCTGATGGAAATATTACGGATGAGGAAGTTACAGAAAATTATGAAGATAATCATATTATTGATCAGATAAATAATGATGACTCTTATATTACAGATACGGGAGTATCAAATCCTTATACGATAGATATTGTAAATAATTATGTATCAACACCAGAAATTGAAACAGAGATTAGTCAAAGTACTCAATTTATACACACACATGAAACAAGTACACTATCAACACCAGTAACAAACCAGTCTAGTGATTCAGAGCATTTACTATCTCGAAAAAGAAAGAAACCAAAAGTAGACGATGATAAGTATTTGGAAAATTTATTAAAAATTGAAAGTCAAAAAGTCGCATTGTTGCAACAGTTTACCAATGTAACTGCTCCAGAAATTGATGAAGATATGCTTTTTTTCCAATCTCTTTTACCATATTTAAAAAAAATGGATTCCATTCAAAAGCTTCGAGTGAGAAATCAATTCCAAAATATTTTAATAAATGAGTTGTCGCAAAATCAAGAATCATCATTAAATGTCGCATTATCTTACTTGTCCTAAGTTTATTAAACAACTTACTGTATACAAGTAGGTGCAAAATACACTTTAAAGATTTAAAAATGTACCTACATTTAAAATATTGTTTTAAATTAGTTATTTAAAAGAAAGGTTTTTTATTTTGTTGTTGAAAAATATTTATTCATTTTTTTTACTACTTATTTTGCAGTAAGTTAAGGGTGTCTGCTTTAAAAAAAAAATGTATTTAACAATATTGTAATACAAGTAGAAACATAATACATTTTAAAGATTTAAAAACTTACTTACATTAAAAAATAATGTTTTTAATTAGTTATTTAAAAGAAAGGTTTTTTATTTTGTTGAAAGATGTTTGTTTATTAGGTACATAAATATATATTTGTGTTTATGTGTGTTTGTATAAATTACTACCAATATAATAAATTAATTTCATTGATTAAAAATGCTTACCTAATTGTTACAACCAATCTTTCTTCAACTGGTATGGGATCTTGAAAATTTGTTGACTTTAGATCAAATTCTGGTCGTATTATTTCAACTATATAGTCAAATGTTGCAACTGACATCCTTGTATACGATCGAAATAAGGCGTCATCACAACGTACTTGGTTATATAAATGGTAAAACTCACCAAAAATCATTCGGTCTTTTAAAATGATAGCTCTGGTAAGATACGATTTTTTAATTTTTTTGTACCTACATATTTATAAATTCACTTATAATTATTAATAATTTACCATTATTTAATTAAATTTAGAACTTACCTTTTATATAATAAATACTTAAGTACCGAATTTTCAGTCAGAAGCATTTTGTTTTGTAGTGTTGTTAAAGGCATGATTAATGTTTTTAAACGAATATTAGCATGTACAATGTTCCTTCTACCTACAAAACCGTCGCACGACTATTGTCAGTTAATGCGATCTCACGTTTGCCACGTGTCCGATCGCCGCAATATCGGATGACGAAATCGTATCGGATCGGTCGCATCGTATTGCGATTATCGGATTTGCCGTATTTACGTAGGACACGGCGTAATGATTATTTTCGTGTGCGTGTATAATATTATTCAACTTGACGCCCTTATTATTGTCAATCGGTGAATAGGGTAGGTAAGAATATGTACATAAATATCAAATATAAATATACGCTACACGAGTATATGAGTAATGCTTAGAGACATATTTTATATTATATTCCATGGAAACAGTAGCGCATTTAGTTGCATTGTGTGTGGACTGCAAGGAGGGGGGGGGATTAACCAAACAAAACATTAAAAGGGCTGCATATGAACTTCGAGTTCCCATAAAACTTTTTAGAAGGAATTGAGTCCTTTGAAATTTAAAATATAGCATGTGAAATGAAAAGAAGGTATAGGTGGTAGCATTGACTTTATATATACAATATTATGTATATCATAAAATCAATGGTAGTAGGTATATTAATATAGTTAAAAGCAGATAAAAACCTCCAAAAAGCCCAAGAGCTGATATGTTATGGCTTGGCGGGAACCCAACAAAGATAACCCAAAAATTATCTAGATAAGATATAATATTCAATGGAAATTCTTAAACCAATTAAACAATGTATTTATAAATAATTTGAAGTACAGGTACATCATTCATGTATCATTAATACATGTTAAAAGATTTCAATAAACTAAAAAACTACAGTACCTCCTTGTAAAGTATTTTGAAATTTGAATACTTTTAAATCATATTTGTATTTATATTCTAATACTTTTGAAAGACAGAAGATATTGTTTGAATAAGTATTTCAAATACAACTGACACCCGCAAGTACTTAAATACGTATTCTGAATACTGCAGCCACCTGTCTTTCATTAATCATTAGTATTTGAATATAAATACAAATACAATTTAAAAGTATTCAAAATACTTTTTTGCAGTATATTAAATGTATATTAAATGATTTTATATATTTGTATAACTCAATAACAAATAACTGAAGATAAATGAAATTTTTACCAATTGTATACTTACCTAGGATTTAAAAATTTAATACAAGATTCCTCATAAGGTTTTCTTTTTATTACATAAAAAAAAATTTACCCTGAATTCACATTCATTTTTTATGAGCTTTAAGTTTAAATTTTTTACGACTTTTATCTAATGCGTGTAATAACGTTTTTTTATTGAACGATTTTCTTATATAGTTGTAATTCAAAAACTAATAACATTAAATACATGATATTTTCACAAAATGTTTATTTTAACATTTCGTTTATAAAATGACAACATTTTCACAAAATGTTTATTTTAACATTTCGTTTATAAAATGACAACATTTTCAAAATTATTTCACTCTTTTTAAGCTATTTATAAATAATAAAGATTTTTTTAAATTTTTACTCTAAATATGTCAATAAAAACATGTTTACTAAGTTAAAAAAGTTGATAATTGAATACAAAGTTAATTGTAAATTGAAATTATATTTATAAAAGTACCATTTTTTATAAGCATTTGAATTTCAAATTTTTAGAAAATTCATCATAATCATGAAAATTTTCAAATTATTATGTGATTAAAAATGTGTTAGTTGTGTAATTTTTATAGCTAACGAATGAAAATGTAAAACGAGATTTTACATGAGTAGTTAAGTTTATACTGTAGCCAACAAATTTAAAAAAATGTATATTAATACATTTTTTTTTTGTAATAGATATTTTAGTTTCAAATTTGGACGAAATTATACATTTTAAAGAGAATAACGATTTTAGTTATTTTGCCGTAATTTTTATACATTCAATAACATTATCAAATTCAATGTTCTCGCCAAAAATTAACTGAGCTAGTACCTATATACTGTATAAAATCAATTAATCTAATAGCGATAATATCATAAAATATACTTAGTAATATAATAGACTGACAGACTGCAACCTTCACTCAGAATCTAAAAGTTTGAAAAGTATTCTTAACAAAAAAATCAATTTAAGAAAATTAAAATATTTATTCCCAATAAAATCATAATAATTTGTTTATTTTACTAATTTAGAGACTTAAAATATGTATCTTAAATTTTTAACATAGATCTACTTGATTTTTTTGTGCTAAGTATAGGTACTTAGGGGCTAGGGCACCTAGCTATAATTGTTAAACATAAACATTGCGATATAATAAAATCAATTATTTTAAGTTTTTAATCAATTTATAATATCTATAAAGTGGCAACTAAAAATTACTGAATATTGTAATTAAAGACGAACATTAATAATAGTAGATAAGTACCTTCTTAGTTCGCACTTCATTTTTACACCAAATATCAACTATCAAGCCACCATACTATATGTCTGTACATAAATGTTATTATGAACATATTATATCCATTATTATACCTACCAATATCAATTGGATATGAATGTATGATCATATTTCAATACACGTTATGTCGTTGTCATGTATGCAGGATTATATTATTTATATACACATTTAATTAAGTTTATAAAATCAATTAGGTAGTATTGGCAATACTCGTAACAGGTAGGTACCAATTTAATGTAAAATGTCTAAATTATACTTACCTACCTTACTTTAGTTACAAATGTCACTGTTTTCTGTTTGGTATCTTAGTAGTCGAAGGTTAGTTTTAATGTTTTATTATTAGTTATGAACTATGATAATTTAAAACAGGGATCTCTAAACCACTTAACCACTGCCCACAAAAAAATCATCACAGATCACTCAAAGTTCAGTAAATAATTTAAAAATATGTGTAATATCAACATTTTTTATTGCATACACGTGCCAATTAGCACCTGTATCACAATTATAGAACTAAGTAATTTAAGTATATTATAACTTAAATGAACTATTTTTAAAAATATTTATAAATATACATACATCTATAAAATTAAAAATTACACGTGTTTATACACTTTTGGCCCACTAAGAAATTTTGATATTCGATATTTTATATTTTATAAAAGTTTGGAGAAAAATTATCTAAAGTAAAAAAAAAACGTTGTTATTTAAGCGGGCTAGACACAAGAGAGTAGCAATATTTTTAAGGGGTAATAATCAGTAGATTAATGTGACATGCACATTTGGGTTGTGCAACGTGTGAGTAATAAATGCAAATTAGTGTGTTTAATTAGGTAATTTTTTATAACTCCGACACGACACAAGTGTCAATAAGTCGTAGAAAATGAAAGATATTTTTGTTTGCATATCTATAAAAACTGCTAAAAGCAATAGTAAATTAAACATACTTCTTGAAGTCTAACTGTAATTTTGAAAAAAATGGTTGAATTAATAAGCTAAACATATTTATACACTAATACTTTATGTTCTTTAGGAATCACTTTTTTGATTTAAAATCAGGTGTGACCAAAATAAATACAAATGTAATGCAATTATTTTATGGGATTTTAGAAAAAAATATGTTGATTATCAGGTCGTTTAAAATTAAAAATTTACTAGGTATCTAAGAATCCTGGATATAAATTAAAATCGAACATTCCGAAGTATGTGTAATTGACCAGTTTACCACCATGGTAAATACGTGTGCTGCGATCCCCTTATAATTACTATTTGAACCACCTATTTGAGAAACGACTTACCTAAGTAGCAAAATATCACAAATTGAGATATTGAGTGGAATGTGTTATTGAATGATGGACGGATCATGTGTGAACGTTTCCAAAAAAAAATATTTAATTTTACCATTGTAAATAATCAGTTTAAAAGAGAAATGACCATGTATTACTGGTAGCGTAAAAACAGTTTTTTCTTGTTTTCTCCGAATTACCTTTTATTGACTTATGTCGTATCTCAAATAGGTGGTTCAATTATCGCGAAACATTCCTTACAGATTCCGGTTAATTGATGTTGTATGTGTGTACAATAAGGTGGTCAATCAATATAAACGATATAAAATTGAAAAATACTTGAAATGCTTTCATTTTAAAATGTTTTCTGTGTAAATAATACCTACCACCTATTCACAATTGAGTATACTATACTGTATAGGGTAGTTCAATAAGAATCGTATTTACAGAAATATTGAGTGTTTCTTTTAAGAATATAGCGTACATTTTGTTATTGACTATTGTTATACACCAAGTTCCAATGTTTAAGCTCGTAAACACGTGTGTAAATAGGTACTTATTTTAATTACCAATCGATACATACAGAAAAATATGAACAATAAACTAAAAAATGTAATAATTACACTAAAATTACCTAATAAATGTATAAAGTATTCACATAAACATAGGCGTAAACTGGGGGTGCCGTAAACTAAAAATGTAAGGGGGCTAATGCTTTCCATGGTACTTTGTAAATTAATTAGAAAAATATTACCGAAAATTCATTTTAAAGTAGAATTTTATCAAGAAAAGTATAATATTTTATTTGTATTTTTAAAATACTTAATTAGTTAATTGGCTCATTTGACAAAATATTCTGTACTTATAAAAATGTTCTATCTATTCCAATGAGTTCTGCTTTGAGTGAACTTTTGCATCTCAAAACATTTGGCCCCTAACCATTGGCCAAGAAGTTTACTCGACTATTATTACATTTTGAAAAAACTTCTAAAATTAATTTTGATTCATTAATTGATCGGCTTAATCCAGACTTAACAGAAATAAGACAAATACTTCAATCATATAGACATTTAAATTTAAATTTAAATATTATTAGAATGTCGAAAGGTTATATTTGATATAACTTTTCAATACTGTTAATTATGTAATCATTAATAATATTTAACTGTTTAATATTAAATTTATTTTGGTATATATAGTTATTATATTATTACATTATAAAGGTATATTTAATGTTATGGATAGAGTAAAAAATCATCAAATATGCAGTTAAATATTCCCTAAAAAAACAATAACCACTCATATTACACTATAAATTTACAATTTTTTCTTTAAATATTTTATTTATATAATATTGTTATTTATTTAGTTACTTGAACTTGAAACATTAGTTAAATATGAGTTAACAATAAAATTACACTAAAAATTTAATATTTTATTTTAGGTAAGTACTTTATTCTAT